TCCTGAATCAAAGCAGACGGCTTCAAAATCTCTTCTTTCTCTGAACAATTTCACTGTCATCTGCGCTAGCTTTCAATGGCTTGGCCCCAGATGGACCCGCAGTACGAACAAAGGCTCATAGAAGAAGTAATCTACCTCCACTCCCTCTGGCACCAAGGTCCCCCACGAGCCGCTGCCGCACAGTCCTCCCACCACCACCACCACCACCTGCAGCCTCAGATAGCGACCCAATTTAAGTGGGAGAGAAATCAGAAGGTGAAAATGCCCACACACCAGCCAGCCAATTCGTCACCGGCCCCGAATGGGCGGTTCCCGACCCTCCGCCGCAGCCGCCGTTCGACGCATGGCCCAATCAAGGAAAACTCGGTCGACAGCCTCTCACCCTCACCTCCGAAGAACAGTTGAAATTGGCTGGAAAAAACGCGCACCAGCGGGCGCTCAAGCTCGTAGCCGAGTATTTTAGGTATAGGGACGCCGGCGATGATTCCGATTCGATTGGCAGCGGCACTGAAGGGGACGAAGACTTAATGGACGGGGACGACGGCCGGGAGGAGTACAGCTTTTTCTACAAGGTCTTCAAGGAGGACACGGAGCTTAGAGAGTATTACGAGAAGAACTTCGTGAGAGGAGAATTTGGGTGTCTGGTGTACAGGGCTCTTGGGGGGGAGAAAACGGGGAAGAAGTATAAGGGGTGTTTGACCCTCGTGCAGCACTCGATCAACATAGCCAAGACGACGAAGAAGACGGCCCACAGGGCTTTTGGGCTGGCTGTTTGTAAGGTTTTGAGCTGGGACATTAATGAGCTCTCCAGCATTGTTTCTTTGCTGGCACAGGTAACTTTTGTTCTTCCATTAATTATCGAACTACTATATTTTGTGACGGCTGGATTATTTTTTGATTTTTCAGAGACTTTAGTTTTTTAAATTTATGAAGGAAATATTACATTTTTGCAGGGGAATAATGGTGGGGAGAACAAGGAAAACTCGGTAGCTGTTCTCAACAATGTCGTACCACTGCAGGGCAATATTGTCCAGGGAAAAAATGAGGGAGCGGTTTTAGAAAGCGGACCTAGTGATAGTGGAATTTCGCCTGATGGTGATGAAGGGGATATGGTATGTGCATATTGTATAGTGGCCGATGTTTTTAATAGCTTTTGGCATTTTGCTGATGTGCATACTGTACTTGTCTTTGTTCTTTTAGCTCAATCCTTTGTCGTGTTCTCATGCTGATAAAAACTTGGAAGATCTTGGGATTGTGAGTAATGTGGAAGAACCTGCAGCACAGGATTTGACTAATGTGAGTTTCATCACACTTCACTTTTTTTTTTTTCTCTCTTTTTCTGTATTTCGTTATATCTAATCTTAGTTGATTATGATTCCTTTGATGAATGATTCATCTTTAAACCTATACAATCTTGGACTTTTTGGCATGTGTCATCCTCAGTGTTCCTGGGAGTGGTTCCTGCTTGTGATTTTTGCTCGTAGTGTGGTTATTAAGCAATAAAGACCATTCTTTTGGAAGCACATTATGATATTTTTGTTCTTGTTTTGTTCTTTGGAAATGAAAAATTGCTTTTTGCAGGGAACTGGCAGTGATGATGACAACGATACCCCTTTAGTTACACA